TCGCAATATGTTACATTTGATAATGAATGACTGAATGTAATCTTTTTTCGAAGTTTCAATTGAAATTAAAACCTCAAACCTCAAACCTCAAAACCTCAGATGGGCAGATGCCCGTCTTTCATTTGACCCATCTTTAGAACATTTTCCGTGATGTATTTTATTACGGCCGATGAACTTCGCCCTTTATTTCAATTGATAGTTGAATATATAAGTTAAGTTGAATTTTTTGTTTTGGTTTCGAAACAATAAAGGCGATATTATATTTTTTTTTACCGTAGGCGGAGATTTCGTCCTTACGATTCGGAAAGCGATTGGACGACGCTATACACGGCGGTGTTGATGTGCCAGATGTCAGCCTCTTCTGTTAAAACACTACAAACCTCCCTATATAAACAAGCCACTTCTTGTAGCTTCAGAGGCCTAATTCTGTGGTGTGCCCTGCGTGGTGGTAGAACTATCACTTCTACCACTTCGTTAGCAGGCTGGGAAATAGCTATATAGCCCTGCCGCCGAAGATAGGATACGTAATCCCAAAGATTTTGGGCAGAGAAGGCGGCATGCTCCGGATGTTTTTTACACTACAGAGCATGCATTCTCGCCAAGTAGCCTCTTCGCGTGGGTTCACTACTCTCGTGACAATGCCTAAGGCTATCTCTTAACTCATGCGTCCACTCAAAGCATCCGTTGTCATTGCCAGGGTTGTCATCAGCAAACCTAAGCAAACCATCGTTATGGGCCCCACCACCTTGTCTCTTACCCCTCCGAGCGGGTCGATTGTGGGGGCCCCTTCCTTGATTATCAGGAACCAAGTTTTGGGTTTACCAGGTGGTTAACCCTGTGGACCCACGGCCGGCACCGGAGGGACAATTGTGTTCTCCTTCCCGGATGCGCCTGAGCTGAGGGTCCGGTTTTGCACCAGTTGCTCAGGTAAGTGGTGGCGCAACTCACCGAAGACCAAGGGCGTTATTGACCATTTCCACTTATTCCTGCTTATTATTTTTTTTACCTAGTATACGCTGGTCAGTCCCTATCTCCCGAAGCCCCGATACATTCGGGAGGGCGAACCAGCATTATCAACCAATGACCACTCCCCACACCGTGGGGTAAGTGCTCATTAGGTCCGATAATGGGCCCTGAGCAAGCGCATTGAGCCAAGAATGATAGCCTTCTGCATCTGTCTGGCTGAGATTTCTGCCTTAGTGCGGCAAGAAGGTATGATTTCAAGATTCGAGAGTAGAGAGGGCATCATTCCACCAAGGACTCCAGAACAACCATCTTGACAGAGTGGTCTGGATAAAGTCTGCGGAGTTCGAAGAGGAAATCTCGATATTTTATCCATTTTTCCTCCTCTTTTCGGCTGATATTCGTCTCGCCAGGAGCTGAAAACACCACGACAAATATCGTCTTGCCCGGGTTGTCTAAAAGGACTACATTATTATTATTATTATCATTATGTAATTGAGGAACACGGGTAGTGGACAATTGAGAGTGTTTGTATTTGAATTCCAACTTTCCCAAAAATATTTAATGTTCACAGATTCAACAATATACGTTATTTCAGTTGCCATTGTCAAAGTTTTATCATTATTGTTGTTACAGCTATTTTTGTATACAATAATAACTTTCATCTACGAATCCCGTGGGAATATCGTAATTTGATGTCAGCTAGAAAACTTCTGGGAAATCTAGCTTTCTATCAGTAACAATATTTTAACAGTTAATTGATTATAGCTGACCTGTCCTAGCTTTCCACGGATAGGTTATTATAAAAATAAATCATTTGGAACGTGGGAACATAAGACATTGAAGTTTGCTGTCTTGAAGCTTTCTAGTAAACAATATGTGATGTTTTTTGTGTGGTAACAAATAAACCGATTTTTGGGAGCTTCGACCCGCGATAGGCTGACATACAGTCGGCCATAAGGAAAGCATGCTTTTGGTAGGTCAATCTCTACTAAATCGGTTTGGCCCTGGGACTTCAATACAAAAATTGTTTTCAATCGAAACTGAAGTCGTTCAAATAGAATTGGCAATTCGATCATCGATATCCTATGAATATGAGTTATCTGACCAATTGCTACAATTATATTGTTTTTCCATTCCTTCATGAATGACCTAGTCCCATCGGACATGCTAAAAGGGCTCAAATTTCTCAAAAGCATGATTGGCATTGTCTTTATGTTAATTCATAAGGTGGAAGTTCAGTAGGATTAGGTGAACTTCAAAATTTGTGTAGATAATTGTTCTGTATTTTGACAATGGAAGTCTCCAAACTAATGAAATATACTGAATCTATTAAACTTTCTGAATTATGGACTCTTAGAACTTTCCACATCACGGTTTCGTCCGTTTTACATAGAATGAGGCGATGGTGTGGCATTCTAGAGTTACCGCGGTACACTACAAAACTTTTTTTTTCAGAGATATCTACTTTTTTACTCGCTTTCTATAGGTGAAATAGTTTTTGAACATACATACAAGTGAACAAATAAAACAAGTGATATTTAATGTTATGAAAATCCACATGCTTCAGTTAATGTTGATGTGGTTGCACCAGACGCTCGCTGCATTGATTACTTCATCAGGTGCCAAATGAGAATATGTTTTGGCACAATCACGGAATAGAAAGTTGAGTAGAAAGTTGTATACATCTCTACCACGTTCAATGGTTTATAAACTTTCAAATTAGACTCTCTTTGGAATATTGTCCACTCATACGGATCTGCTGCTGGACTCTTAAAATGAGTAATTGGAAAATAGACATTGAATATCCAATCATCTTGAAAATGGTAGACTAGAACATAGAAGGGAAGTTGGAGATTCTCGTCTCCTAAATATCCTAAGTTAATGAAGTATTATGTTTTGATATCACTTGACGTCAACATAATGATCCAAAAAGTATACCACTCATTCAAAAATCCCGAATAACATTCTGAACCTGAATGTTGTGAAAAGTAAATCTATCTATACGCATTTCTTCATTTTCCCATTATCAAAAGTTTTCTGTACATTTTTGGATATGAATTGTTTTTATCATAGATGAAAAATAAAAGCCTTATTTAGTGTTCCAGATGTTCATGATCCATCCATAGGAAAAATTTGGGGAAATTCTTATAGCACTCAGTCGGAGTTTTTTCCAATTTAACGAGAAATTTGAGATTGATACGTTGCTTCGGCTATTAAATAACGAGATTGGGTCCCTAGCGGGCGGCCTATAGGTGTGGAGGAAAAACAAGTAGTGCGTTGGGTATCTGGAAATCTTCTCTATTCACATACCAAAACACGTTTTCGTCACTATTATAGTATTTGTGCAGTAGCGGTTTGAAACGAACGTGTTTTTTTCTCGTGCCGAAAACCATGTGTGACGAAAAACAGGAGCAACTCATCAATCTCAAATTTCTTGTTAAATTGAAAAAACTCCGACTGAGTGCTATACATTGTTGTAAAAGGCTTATGGGGACAGTTCTCCATCTGGTGCGCGTTTTTGATTGGTGTAAGCGCTTCAGTGAGGTCCGAGAGAGAACTGAAGATGACCAGCGCCCAGGTCGCTTTGTCACTGTTTCAACTCCGGGAATAATGACCAAAACCAACCAAGTTTTGCGTGCAGATCGTCTAATGAGCATCCAAATGATTGCCGAGGCTGCCGATAAGGGAACGGTAAGAAAAATTATGTGCGAAGTTGGTGCCAAAAAACCTGACTCCTGACCAAAAGCTCTTGCGTCAATAGGTCTGCTCTTGGAAGATTAGAAGAAGACCCCGAACTGATGAAAAACATTACTACTTTCGACGAAACATGGATTTGTCAATACAATGTTAAAACAAAGCGGCAATCGATGCATTGGAAGACGCCTGAATCGCCGAGAATAAAAAATCAAGGATGTCCGAATCCAAATTCAAGGCAATGTTGATCGTTTTTTTTTTCGACATTAACGGTATAGTGATGACTGAATGGGTTCCAGAGGGTCAGACTGTCAACGAGACTTTCAATTTGTCAGTTTTGGCAATGATGCGAGAACGAGTTCGTAAGAAACGGCCCGAGTTGTAGAAGAACAACTCGTGGATTTTGCACCAGGACAACGCACCTGCCCATAACGTGCTACCTGTGAAGATGTATTTGGTTCATAAACGCACTCCAGGGCACGAACACGAGCCGTACTGGCCAGAATTGGAACCGTGCGACTTTTTTGTATCCGAAGATAAAATCTGCTTTGAAAAGGGCCCTATTTGAGTCAATGGAAGCGATAAAACATAAAACGGCAGATTTCGTAAAGGCCCTCACCAAAGAAGACTTCCGGAACTGCTTCGATCAATGGAAAAAAACATATGGAAACGTGTGTCGCAAGGGGAGGGGAGTATATTGAAGGGAAGCATTCGAATGTAGAATAATTTTTTTCTTTTTTCTCTTTTTCGTAACCAGTCTCGTTATTTAAAACCCGGACCTCGTATCATTCGAATCTGTGATCTTTACGAATATTTGATAAACTAAAAGACTTCTGAAAGAAGACTCACACTCATATGATACCCATAAGAATGTTTTTTCATTAGCATTATTGGGTATTTTCACTTTCCACAATCAGAAAAAAATTAAATAGTTGGGGAGAAAGTTATACAAGTTGTTAGAAATCTCATGATAAGCGAACACTCAATAGATGTCTGTTATATATCACTGTTTATATTCGTTTTCATATCTATTATAGTTTTTATGTGTATAACGAATTACCCTTTACTTCAAGAATGAATTGTTAATCACACTATTTTCGCATCCTAGTTTGAAATTGAACTTTCTGAAGTGATTTAGTTCACAGATTTATTACTATTTATGTGAGAAAAAAATAATTTCTAGTCAACTTAAATGATTCACTGTATTATCATGACTCACCACGTTTTGCTGAAGTTATAGTGGCTTTCTTAACAATAATCAAAACTGGTTGACTCGAACTTATAAGAAATGGCGGGAATTCACAATGAACAATTGTAGGTTAAGAAGATGAAATACTTACCAAATGATAATGTATGAAATGAATCAGCACATTCGAAAAATAGTCATTGATATTATCAAAAATAATACAACACTTTTTCACATTTGCAGAAAAAACACAATTAAACAAACAATTGACTCTAACAATCTGAACCCAATACACGATCAAAACAAATCCTCTGTCGCTACCTCTAACCACCAGAAAGCGAAACAGTGCAGAAACCTTACAGCGCCTTCTATTAAAACTCAAATTAATTCATGTATTCTCCGGTAGATGGCACAACACGAGTCATTCGAAAATTCAAATTCCCAAAATATCAATTAACTATTTCATATTATCGTTAAAAAGTATTTTAGAAGGATAACATTTTTTACACAATTCAATGATAATGTCTGATACCTGATCCTAGCATCAAAACCTTTTTCCACTTCCCACTTCGATTACACTGAAAGAGATAATGATAAAATCGTCAAGAGAACATCAATTATTGTTAAAACTTCACAAACATTTCGTGTCGAATAATGATGAATTTCAAAAATAAAATACTCACCGAAATCACCTTCTATAATTGTGAGGCCGTCAGGATTTCAATGTTGAAATTTATTTGTAATATCGACAAATGAAAATCTATTTTTAATAGAAATCAGAAGAGTATAAACCAAAAATCTAGTCCTCAAGGCAAAAAAGACTGAAAGCTAATGTATTGGCTGAATTTGTCAGTTTGAGGTGTGTATACCCGTGAAATTTATTGACATTGAAAACGTTTTACAAGTACAGGTAATGCAAGGAGTCGCAGAATGTTTTCAATAATCAATCTAAAATTAATTCTGAACCAACTGACTCAATAATTTTTCAGGTCTGGATAAAGTATTATCGTATAGTACTACTGCTGATAAAAATTCCTATCATTTCATCATTTATTATACATAATGAACATAAACTAAGTGTCGTGGAGTAAATAATAAATAAAGTTGACGAAATGAATATTCAAATTGTGAACTCAAGTATATTCTAACATCTCAATTCCCTTTGAAAATTCGAAGGTTCGGCATGTCGTGGATTCTACATGTGACACTATCGAAGGTTAACTTAGTGAATGTTTGAATTTTCTTTGGGGTTTTGATAATTCTTCTGGTGAAACCTCATATTCTGCTATACAACTTAAAGAAATATATGATGGAGGTGGCCGATACTTGTTGAAAATCTGTTACTTACTCAAGTAACACTTTGTGAGATTTTCACTGGACACATACTGTATGAGAACGCTTGAGGACGCTATTGTATAACGAAACATATGTTTTTTAAACGTCCAGTGAAGTGTTATTCGAACAGCTTAATTTACACATGAATTTTATAAAATATATTGGTCACATGCATATACCAGATAATCGTTACCTTATTAAAATTATAAAAGAAGGAATATTTTTATTTATTTGTCATCAGCCTCAATATATTCAAAGTTCGTTCTGACAATAACCATGTTTCTGCTTGTCGATACGATTTACGCGAAATGCGTGGCTTAGTAGGCTTAGATGATCCATGGCTTAGATGATCCGTGACTTGGATGATCCATGTGGCCACATAAGTGGTTCAGCACCCAAAGTTCCCGACTCCATACAATATAACGCAGTTCGGCTTAAACCAACTACTATGGTGCATTTGACAGAACGAAAACAAGAAAATGTGTGGTTACTGGAAGTGTGAGGAATTAAATGAATGTTACAGGTAAGCAAATATTACCACATAAAAATTAACTCAGTGAAAACATCTTTTTTTTTAATTCAGGATTGGCCAGTTACAAAAATTATGCTTATCAAGATTGTTCTTTACAAGAAATTGCCCACGAAATGAGAATTTCTGTAAAATCCACCAGAACTATTTCGAAAAAGAACAAATATAAATGCTACAGGATACGCAAAGTCAATCACGTCAATGAAAGGGATTACGAAAGGAGAATACGATTTGCGAAGTGCTTAAGACGTAGAAATTGTAAAGGAGGATATATTTATAAAAAAATAATATCGAAGGAGGAATCCAAATTCACTAACAATAGTTGTTTCAACATAAATATCCATTATAGGTGGAATAATACAAACGAACATTCACATAGGAAAACCAATTTCCAAGAAAGGTTCGGAATAAATGTTCGGATGGAAATTGTGGAAACAAACATCCTTAGCCCTTTCTTTTAAGATGATCATTTGAATAGTGAAGTGTACTTTCATTTTCTATTCAATGAATTCGATGGCTACTTAGATGAATTGCCACTGAATATCAGCCATGAAATGCAATATTTTCAAGAGGACGGCGCTCCTCCCCATAATGCACCAATAGTAAGGAAACATTTAGATGCAATATTCCCAAGAAAATGGTTTGGAGACAATGGACCAATTAACCAACAAGCTCAATATCCAGATCTTACTCCATTAGATTTTTTTGTCTGGGGATACATAAAGGATAAAGTTGTTTTCAACACCAAGTAAGATATCGACCATCTCAAACAAAAAATTAGAGATGTATGTATATGTGCATTCAACAAAGAGGTCGTCGATTCCAGCATGCACTTAATGTAGATTGCCATGTAGCTTTGATTTTCCGTATTGGTTTCCCTAAAGTTCATGATGAAGTAAATTGTTTTTCTGTTTGATCGTTGTCACTGATGATGGTCTATTTGAAATGAAACGCTATAAAAATATCAAATGTGACATACCCTTGGAATGTGAATTCATCGCTTTAACAATATCAGTAATAAAAAAGACAGGCCATATTAAAAAAAAAGGTTGAAGGTGGCCATGTTGACATGAAACGTTTTATCGAATATTTAATATTACATCGTCAAGTATACTTTGAATACAAAAACATTTTCTCTTTCCAGTTTTTGATATTCTCCGAAATAACAATTCCATTCGAAAAAAACGAAAAACATCATTTTTGGTTTTCCCCGTATAACACGAGAAGGGCTAGAGTCTCCATAAATTTTCTTCGACCATTGTATTGTTCCCGATGACAGTTACATGTTCTCCCATTTAATCGTCTTCGTATCTGTTACGGTTTAGAATATAGCAATGTTACCACATGATGAAGGAAACGTCCTTTATACCTTCCCTTATTTCCAATACGTGTTTCACCAGAATAGTAGTTTCTTCAGCGTATTGTGGATAAAGTCTAGATATATTGTGACGAAAGAAAATTGAAACTTTCTATGTTTTTTACCACTTTGATTATTTGTAAGTAACTTTACTGCAATTTCGTCCTATAAGTACATTTTTAAACTTATACATTAAACATAGAAAGTTTCAATTCTCTTTTCTTCAAAATGATTTCCTACCACGTAGTAACGGCTATATCCATCAATTTATCTGTTAAAAAAATCTGTCAAAATCTGTTTTTCCGTTAAGCAGCTGTCGCACTCCTATGAACGATAACCCTCAGAAGTCGAAACTTGTGCGAGCTAAGGATTAACGAGGTCTTACCTTTTAACGTGTGATTCTTAACATGGAATTATATTGTGATAATTTGTAATTATTATCAAGAAAAGTGACGGAGGAACTAGACATCATCAAGTTCCTTTTCGAAAAGGAACTAGACATCATTAAAAATGATCTTCAACCGAATGGCTACTTCAAAGCGATGATGGAACAGACTTTGGCTAAAAGACAGCAAGAAGAAGTATTCCCTATATTTTTGAAATGAACTTTTCGAAACGTAATAACATCTTGAATAAATAATAAGATCTTCCATTTATAAAATAAAACAAGATAAAATTGTTTTCGACTTTCGATTTACCGGTATTAGAAAAAATTATTGGGATTCAATAATTAAAAGAAAGAATTTTTTTTTAAATGAGTTTTCATTGAAAATGTAGACGCTTGAATCGAACAACTTCGTGATATTTTTTAGCCTAACTTCTATTTCTGATACGCAATACTTCTATTGGATAGTGTATACTGATAATATTTAAAAAAAAAAGCTCTTATGCATTGATATCCAAACTCACTTCTAATAAAAACTCAAGGTGAATAAAAATTCTGTATGGGCCTACTTACATCAATTTATATCAATTTGTATCCATACGTCTTTGGTTTTTTTTGGTACCACTAGTATCTATTTCAGTCATCCAAATAGCTTGTATTTCACTGGCTGTAGAATTTTTAAATATTTAGACTGTGAAAGATGGATGACAAACATTAGGTATATATTACACAATTACATACAGTGTGGAAAAGCCAAATGGAATAAATTCATTATTTCGGTTATGATACACATTTTAACAAAATCCCGAAACATGTCCAATTTAAATTATAATTTGACATACTTCACCGAAAAAATGCCACCTCTACCTTCAACCCCCGTCGAATAACAGGTACAACCCCCATTTTTCAAATGAGAAGTATAGGCTTGTGATATAAACAGGTACAACCCCCCATTTTTTAAAATGGGAAGTATAGGCTTGTGATATATTGTTTGAAAGGTCTCTTCATTCTCTATTCAAAACGGTTATCGCTTTCAATTTTGTTGCAACAATCAAGATAAAATAAATTAAAATCATGTGCTTACCAAAATTTGATAAAATACATTCAAAACTTATTGCAATATACTCAAAAATTATTTCATGTTGAGGAATTGATAGTAAGAAAGTAAGCAAAAACCATAGCAATGTTCTTTTTAGATGGTATCCTTTGAAAAACTGTAAATAATTTCCGTGGCAACGTTAGTTTAAACCGCCTTGTCAACTTATTTTGTATGTTACCAACATTAGTTGTCAGTATTTTGATGTAAGTTTAAAGTTCTTTAACCTCAAGTCTGACAAATGATTAGATTAACGGAAATGCATAAAATAACAGTTTTACAAATGACTGGTTACGGAGATAAAACCCGAACACAACACGAAGTAGCTCGCCCATATCCCAAGGAACAATAAGCAAAATAGGGAAGCAGTTTCGCAAGCTTTGTCATATGAGAAACTACATAACAAAAGTTCAGAATTCCAATATCGTAATTAACGTAAATGTGAAACACCAAATTTAAATCACTAATAGATTTCGCTATAGTAGATTTCGTATTATTGTTTCACTATAAAATTGAAAATTCTAACAAAGTTTGAATGGTTATCTCTGCAACTTGTAATACCACAAGAATTTTACTGGAAATAATCCAGTCTGAGAAATATTTTATCGAT